GTGTGTATGTGTGTGTGTGTGTGGGGGGGGGGCAGCGTCACGGGGTGGGGTTCTAATGTTTTCTTGTCGAACATGTTTCGGCTAAACGCGTCTTTGCTGTTTCAAGACAGCTGTCCGGAGGAATCCCGTTTTTTACTGTAAGAAAACAGTAATTTGTTATTATTTAGCACTTAACAATTCACCCTCACAACGCTCGTTGCCATTACCTTTGTTAGGATGGTGGAAATCGGACATTTAAAAGGCAAAATAAACCATATGTGAAATCTCATTCAAATTTTGGATAGGAGGCGTCGTTGTTACATCAACATAGCAATTAAAACGCAACATTAAAGTCTTACAGAAAATACGTTTTGACGTAACAGTATTAGAAATGTCCGTTTTGATACATTATCAGTGTGGTAAATTAAATCAAATTTAATATTGGTAGTCAAAAGAAAATTGCTTTATTTGTATAATGTGTTGATGAGATCGTTTGACATTTGAGACTGTCCAATGTTTGTGATTAAAAAATCACGGCCACACATACTATGTTTGCAATAAGTAAATACATAAATAAATAAATGCACACTGATGGGAAATGTGCGGTGATGCTTTGCAATCTCGGAAAAGTTGGCCGGTACGTGTCTGGGGCGACGTTCCAGCACCCTGCAGATAGCATCTCTCTTGTTTATCGCCGCAACGAAACTTGCACTTAAAAGGAAATGCCTGGCAAGTATGTAAATAAAGAAGCGTTCGTTTATGACAGGCAGACTCTCACTGCAGAGGCTGCAGGAAAATAAAATTCTTTCAGATCCTCGCCTGGGTTCAGCAGTCCTTTCATGGCCGTTACCTCCACCAAAGTCCGTGTTATGGCTCAAGAGTTCATGCCTGAAAACAACACAAGAAGTTGGCAATTTTGTCCTTCAAGGATCAAATTTTGTAACATCTTTTGTATGATTGCTACCTCATATAAGCCGTTGAGCCCCAGACAAATCTGAAATGTTTGAGTTTTGTTTTAGCTCTTGTTGGGTGACTTGACAATGCCATGACACGCGAAACGGTAATTACTCAACTTTTTGGAAAATCAGTCCCCCCAAAGCTAGTTTCCCTTCTCAACATGAAATTTGGGAGACATGTCGATCATGACGAGACCCACAATGAAGTCTGAAGAAGCCTCGACTAAAAAGGCACAAGTAGTCTGCAGTGTTTGTTAGAGGCAGCCATTTCAGACTCATTTAGGCCTTTTCCAGTTGTGCTTTGTGGACCCCTGCAAGACATTTTATCGAATTGCTGACAAATTTGAACCTCCAATATTGGAGAGATGGACAATGCTTAATTATGAAAACTTTAAATTTACATCCTTGTGGGTGGGCAGACCATGACTCGCTATAGAACACAAAATGTTAAAAATGCATTTGTTTGGAACAGTGGTTCTTAACCTTGTTAGAGGTACCGAACCCAACCAGTTCATATGCACATTCACCGAACCCTTCATTAGTGAAAAATAAAAAAAATATATATTTTTTTTACAAATTCAAGACTTAAAAAAATTGCATTTATTAAAAACTAAAAAAAAGTTAACACAATTAATTGTAGTATAAAGTATAATTTTTTTTAATTATGCACAAAATGAACCCGCCAGTAATGGCCAAGTGGGCGTATCAAAACTAATTGACATGTCATTCACATTTTTTTTTTATTTCAGACATGAACTCTAAATATTAAACTGACAGTTTAATCCAGGAGTTTATTAATTGGGAGTGGATTAGAGGCGGATTGAATCTGATTTGAGAGATGAGCGATGGAAAATTAGTTGACGCTCTTCATCTGTCCTGGTATCTTCCATGTAATGTTTCACCTTCAGGTTGGAGCACATCAACAAACGCCCCCGCCTCTGCCAGATTAAATCTGACCCCAAACAATCTGCAGGCCTCCCAAATGCACGTGCAGCCCAAAAAAAAAAAAGATAAATCCCTTCATTGATTCAAGGCCGCAGCTAATTTTAGACAGACTTATCGTTGGCTCACTTCAATGAGTGCCCAAATACCAGGATGTCATTGGTGGCGCTCCAAAAGTGGAGGCTCATAGTAGGGAATTGAAGCTCGTGATATATTTTTATATTTTGGTGGCTCGCCATGTATTGTTTGTCGGAGTCCAAGTTGGCTTCCACTCCTTTTAGACGCTTGTACCAAGTGTCGCCACCAAAACTGATGACAGTCTTTTGAGCTTGGAGCTTAAGTGCTGATTTAGAGTCGAGCTAGCTATACTTGTATATATTTAAATATAAATCTCTTTTGCCTCCGTTTCTCCATCCTGTCTGCCAACTAAGTAATCATTTGCAGAGTTCCATTTGTGTCATATTGTCATGTGTCTAATGTCTTTTTTTTTTTTAATCAATTTACTCCACAGTGACAAGCATTTTGCATCCCTTGGTAAGTCAAAAGCCCCCTCACGAAGATGATGGTCGTGTTGCTAAATTTCAGATAAGCTAGCAGTTTTCCTGCTACTAGCGAACATTACATCATGGTTGCATGGTTGTTTAGGAATGACTTTCTCGTCAGTTGTTACACTTTTGATTACTCTCATTTCCAGACGAAAAGAAGCCACAATCCCCCGTAGCGCTGGACAAAATGTCAGTGTGCAAGTACTGCTTTCAGTGGCTGCGGCCCAACAACCATCGGGTGCGCCTGCGAGCCAAAAGGCGTCCGTCCGCCAGGGTGCAGAGGATCCTGCGGCGGAGAGCCGAGGGTAAAGCGCTCGGCCTGGTGCAGAAACGCTTGCTGCAACGCTTCTGGAAGTCTTCCTCAGTACTGGTGAGACAGACTACAGATGCCGGCAGGGGTTTAAACACTGGTGCTAATGTTATTGTACAGTTTCGGCTCGTTACTTCCTGTATTGAACCGACTTGATTCGACCTCATCGCCAGTCAATCGGTCATCATGTGGTTTTGGTATCTCGTCTTCTAGTCGGCCATTTTGCACAAGGCTTTGGGAGACTAGAATGCCTCGTGGAGCAACGATATATCCGGCCAACAAGGCGACAGAGTCTTCATATGTGCATGTGTGTCCCAGAGTACCGAAACAAGCTAGCGGTAATTCGATTGGTACTCGTCTGAAAAGATTCTTCCCCGGCGCTACCTCAGGAGGGCCAACAGCACAAAAGTGAAATGCCACAGCGGACGTGGCGCTGAAGTCATCTCATTACCCCAGTGTGGGATTCCGTGTTGGCATTCGGGATAACATTCCGCTTTTCAGTGTTCTATGTGAAAGGCAGAGGTTGATAAATGTGTGGTCGACAACATATGTGACCAATGTTGCCGCAACTCTGAGGGGGAGCCTTGTTCCTGTTCATCACGAGTTGAAATTGACGATTGCTATTGCTTCGTTGCTGAACAGGTTGTTTGCGTTTCAGTTTTCAGCCTGCACGTTTTTCACCAAAACAACAACAATTGTGACCGTTTACATCCTCATTGTCTCTTGAAGCCGTGACCTCACAACTCTGTCGTTAGTCAACGCAGATGGGGAGTGTTTTCATCACGCGACTTCCTCGTAAACTGATACCCTCCTCCCCCGGCAATATTTTTAGCCTCTTTCGACCGCTAGTCATGGAGTGCACAGTGAGACTCCAACAATTAGGCCTCATCCACTCGTGCCGGACCGGCAAGATGATCAGGGCTAGAATGCGAGTCGCTTCCTTCCACGTAAACACCAAATAACCCAGACACCGTGATTAGCGTCCACTTGTCTCCTCTTAAAAGCCGAGAGGTGTGCCGCCTCAAAGAGCTCGGCGGAAGCTGCTGTGTCGCATTGCGCGACTTGCAAACCGCCCGTGTGACACTCTTACACAGCACGGTGCTCGGCTGCCACGAATGCGTGCGAAGCCGCT